GAAATATTCAGCACAGGTGTGATGACTAAGTTACTTTAGTAGTCATATTTTGATAGAACATCATATTTAAGTATTGAAGTACATACTTTACAACTCAGTCATAGACGTTATACATACCACAAATAAATGTGCCTGGTGGGTCTAAACTACTCACTACTCACAGCCAGGTTTGCAGGCCTAGAGAATTATGGGAAATTGCCAGTCTCTGAAACACTCTTTTCAATGACAATCTATTTAATAGTGACGTATATGGATCGTGGTATTCCTCCAAGCCCAGGTATAGGTCTAGGACCTTTAAATGATCTGCCTCAGTTGCCTTCCTGATTCTCATAACCTTTTTGCAAATCTCCAGGCCTTTCCAAATTTAATTACTATGTCTAACATTGTGATCTCAAAATTACCCATCCCCGGCATTTCACTCCAAAAATCGAATTTTTCTGAATTCATGCATAAAGGAGATTCTATCTGCAGAATTAAATTTGTCCTCAGTTTTTTTACACATTTACTTTTAAGTGCTGACATGTGTCTTAAGGTAGGAATTCTTTACTTTGGCTTTCTTACCTCATTCAAAAATACCTTCTCTCTCAAGTTTTTTTGGCAACTCTAGCTTATCAACCACCTTAAAAGCTCTTCTGAAAACTCTCCTCCTGGCAAGTACAGTCTCACTTCTGTGAAAAGCTTTTCCTCATGGTGGAATCATATGCAAGAAATAGTCTCAGAGGTGATCTATGCTGATCCCTTCATTTGACTGATGAGAAAAATTCCGCCTTTTTCTTTTTTAATGACAGTACTTAGATTTCAACTAATCTCTTCCTCTCCCGTTTGTTCTCTGGTATCATTTATCTTTCAACTAGAGTGTAAGATCTCCCACACCTCTAATAATTTAAGATTAAAAAAAAAAAAGAAATAAAAAATTATGGGATTTCTTTCTTTCAGAGAGCCTTTCCTATATTTCACTCCACAAATCCAATTACTGATGACACTGGGATTCTGTCCCTTAGTGTGGGGGTAGGTTTACAGTGAGAATGTAGAATTTTGTCAGAATTGCACACTCTTGCCACACACCTAAATATGCTTTGCCCAGAACTTTCCTGGGTCCTTGTGGTAGAGTCTACTGGGTTCCTACCGTGCAGCAGGCACATTTACAGGCAACCCACTCCACCCTACACACATACACCTGATCCTCGCAATCTCCTGTGAAATGAAATTATTGTTCCCATTTTTAAGGTAAAGAAACAAAGACTTTGAGGTAAAGTGTCCTGAGGCAATTTAGCTAGTTGGGACAAAACTGAGATATAAGCCTGAGTTTTCTCATTCCAACTTTTCCATATTATATTTTTCTTTATATATTACTGAGTACTCAGTTTTACCTCCTCTCTTTCCCCCTCTATTAATCCACTCAATCTCATGTCACCTAGGAGAGACAAAGAAATGGAGAAGAAAACACCACCAGTCCTTCCCCAGGCCCACCTGGAGTCAAGGTACCCTAGGATTCTTAGAGATTGAGGAAAGAGCTTAGAAGTTCTTGGCTTTTATTTTATTATCCCTAGAAAGAGTCAATAGCATTAATTTTTAACCACTTTATCCCTCCTGTTTTTTTCCACTGTCTTATTAATATTAATTTAATGTTAGGTTTACTGCAACATTCCTCTAAGAATAACTGTTATGCTATGTTTTAGGATTTCTCCCTCTTTATTCAATGCTGCTCATTTTTCCCCACTCTCAAAACAATCTGTTACAGACTGCTTCAAAATGCCCCACTAATAAAATGTCAAAGCAAGCCACAGACTGAAAGAAAACATTTGCAAATCATACATCTAATAAAGAACTTGTATCCAGAATATAGAAATAACTGTCACAATTCAATAATAAGAAGACAATCCAATTAAAAATGAGCAAAGGCTTTAAATAAATATTTCTCAAAAAAAGATATAGAAATATCTAATAAGTATATGTAAAGGTGCTTCATGTCATTACTCATCAGAGAAATGCAAACTAAAACAACAAGTTGTCTTTTCACACTCACTAGAATAGCTAAAATCAAGATAGACATTAACAAGTGTTGGGAGGATGCCAAGAAATTGGGAACATTTATACTTTGCTAGTGGGGATGTAAAATGAGAGAGCCCCTTTTGAAAATGTTTGGTAGTTTCTGAAAAAGACAAACATAAACTTATCATACAACCCAGCAATTCCACTCTGAAGTATCTATGCAAGAAAAATAAAACTAAACATCTACATAAAGACTTGCACAAAATGTTCATTGCTATATCATTCAAAATAGCCAAACATCATGCCAACTGAAAGAAGCATACGTACAAAAGAGTATATATTACATTCCAATTATATGAAATCTATAAAGACAGAAATTAGATTAGTGCCTGAGGCTGAGGGTGGAGTGGAGATTTATTGCAAATGAGCATAAGGGAAGTTTGGGGGCAATGGAAAAGTTCTAAAACTAAGAGCGGTGATGGTTGCACAACTGCCGAGTGGTTAAAAATAATTGAACACTCACAATGGGCAAATTTTATGGTATGTAAATTAAAGAATTGTTTTTGTTTCAACTTGCTACGTTTTTATCTTTAGCTTTATTGACATTTGAATTGATAAGCCCACCCTATTTTGTCATGCATTTAGTCTTTTCTGGGAAAACTCTAGCATCACATAAGAAGGAGTCCAAACACCTTGTCCCTTGGTGTCATTTACCCTTGCTTGGCAACTGAACAACATAGACTGCAAATACATTTCGAATTGTTTGTTGATTTTCTTTAATGGGTATACTAAATTTTGACAATATTAGTCTATGTCTTCAAAATCTAACATTGAATAAACAGACACATTTGAAACGCTGAGTCTTAAACCTGAATGATTTCACTTTGTTCAATCAGTTAAAAGATTTAAAGACAAGTGGTGAAAAGAAGCCACCTATTTTGCCTTTTTTCATCAAAATCTGGATTCTTTGTCACCTATCAGATTAAACTTCTTGCTGCAGAGAGAGCATTAACCTATTCTGGTTTCATGTTGGTAGAAGGTCAAGAATGTTTGCATGTGTCCTTACCCATTCGAACAACATGTGGCCTGCTTTAGAGCTGTGCTATTTGGGATATGAGAATTATCCCACTTGGAAAAAGGGCCAGAGTAGCCGAAGAAGCACTAGAAGTGGCTAATGGACAGAATCTCCCTGTTCTGGTTTTCAGTGATGAAATTACATCACTGTAATTTCAGGAATGAAATTACATTTCCTTGTCAGACTACATAAGTTAAAACTGGGCTCTGGCTGCATACCTGTGGCAGTTTACCTATCAGATACCAAACATGATTTAATATTAAGACAAGAAGTTATATGAACCTTTGCAACAATAAAATAGCCATGAATAAGGGAGGAAATTAAGTTGTGATTCACTAAATAACTCCGATTTGAATGCTGTGATCTGCATGGATTCTCTGAGTGCTCACTAAGTCGAATTTCCTCCATGTCTATACAGGCCACTGGCGCCCTCAGAAATGGAAAGGCTTCTGATAGCACACGTCTCCAGAAGTACAGCCAGCTGGTTGCCAAAAAGCTCACAATAAAGTACTTACCTTGATAGTTTACTAAGACTTGGGGATCAGTCTTAAAACTAGAAATTTTATCAATCCATTGCTTGATAATTGATTGATATTTAGCAGACACTCAGAATAAACTTCTCGCTCAGGAGCAGATTCGCATTAACCAAACTCACGGGGACTGAAACACACAAACCAGAATGCCAATCCATAAATGTACTGAGTCATCAAATAAATTCCAGAGGACTAGAAGACTTGTGTTAGCCAATGGGTGCATCCCCCTCTCACCCTCAGCCATAGGCAGCCAATTTACCCAAAGGCGAGGATGTTATCACAACACCGGCAATTAATTGATCCCTTTCACCCACCAGAGGGACGGTTTGTCATAGAAACGGAAATATTTTAGGCTGTTGGACCAAGAGGCCCACCCCTGTGCAGAACTTAGATAAGTGTCACCAACCTCAGCCTGCTCTCCTTTGTCTTTGTATCCATGGTGAGCCAGTCCTGTTCTGGCTGGTATACTCAGCCAGGTACAATAATTTCTGAGGGGCCTGGAGTCTCTTCATCTTTTAAGGATATGTGGCTTATCTACACTATGTAAAGGATATGTGGCTTATCTACACTATGATGTATTGATTTTGAAGGCTAATTTATAATCAATATGTTGAACAAGAACATTCTTAGGATGTATTCATCAAGCATCTTTCTCTTCTGTCTCCATCGACTCCTTAAATCCACTCTGGGCTAGTTCTTCTCCAGTCCCTGGAAGACATCTCGAATAATACTATGACATTTTTCTTCACTCTCTGGGAATGAAAAACAACAAGTTGTGATCTCAATTCAGTAGGCAAAATATCCAGCTTTATAGAATCATTGAAACTCTAAGCATGATTAAGAGACCCTTCACTTCCTTCAGCTTGTGAGTAACAATCAGACAGAGAAGGAGGCTGAGTTGGTTTCTCACTGTGTTAGTATGTTCAGGCTGCCATAACGAAGTAACATAGGCTGGGTGATTTAAACAACAGAAATTTATTTCTCACTGTTCTGTAGGCTGGGAAGTCCAAGATCAAGGTGCTGACCAGTTCAGGTCCTGGTGAAAATTTGCTTCCTGGCTTGCAGGCAGTCACCTTCTTACTATGTCCACATAAGGTGGCAAGAGAGATCTCTGTCCATCTCTTCTGATAAGGATACTAATGATATTAGATCAGGGTTCAACCCTTATGACCTCATGTGACCTTAATTACCTCCTTCATCTACATGGGTGGTTGGGGCTTTAATACATGAATTAAGGAGGGAGGACACAATTCAGTCCAAAGCACTTGTTTTCATCACCTTGCATCTCCTCCTCCTTCCCCACTTGTACCTAGTTTTTGACCCATGAATTGAAGAAGAAGAGATTTTAGGAAGCAGAACCATTTGTACTTTTCTGAAGCTGGTGTGAGCCTTCAGCACATTCCCCAGGCCTGGCAGAATGTAAACCCAATATCTTCTTCTAGGGAGAATGTTGGTCAATTCTTGGGAGACTTTTTGATATGTTTGCTATACTTTCCTCTTGCTCTACACTTATGGCTCTTTCCTCAACCTCTAGGAATTCCAGGACTGACCTCTACCTGCTTCCT